ATTAAATGAGTCAAGGGCCTGTGAATTCTTCTCAGTGTGCACAACGGTTCACAATATCCTGCCTACAAAGCCAAAGCAACAGGAAGTGAGAGTTTGGAGACGCAGCATTGATTCTGTTTGAGTAATTTACCTAAAGACAACAATGGTGGTATAGACAAAACCCAAACCAGGATGTGATGGGGCGATACAATGAGGGCAGACAGTGGAAGAGACAAGAATAAGGATGGGAAGAAATGCAGCCAATGGAAATGACAAAAGAAGGAACAACAAATAATGTAATAGAAAATAGAAAACAAATAGCGGGATCTTGTTTTTGTTTGTTATGGATTTCTCTTTCACCAGCCATTCAAACACATTCTGCAAGGTGGGTGGTAAAGCACTTCTTGACGTTTGTCAAAATTTTGCAGTCTAAAGGTTTTCAGTGGCACATCACAAACTGCATACTATGCTGAGGATAATCGGATCTGTTTCTCGAGTTAAGTTAGGTCCACACATTTTTAAGAACGAATCAGACTACTATGTTGTAAGTTCAAAGACGCATTTTAAAGATGTGAATAACAAGTCAAAGACTTGGCTTTTAGTCCCTGGCTTTATGACATTTGGTTTTTGTGCATCACAGCGTGACAGCCAGAGGAACCAGGTGTACTAGCTACAATGTTGCCAGATTCTTTTTATTAACCTTTTCACACACAAGTTCACAATGTTCTGACTGATTCCCCCCAGTTTTTTTAAAGTGTGTGGCATTCAAGGATGTATCACAATTTTTATTACAAAATTATAAGCAGATTAGGGTTTTGTTATTGTTGTTGATTTTACTGTTAAAATAATTGCAGTTAATCATAATTTATAACTAGTTTTTAGAAAGCAGAATGAAATATTAGTATTATAAAATTTGGCTAAATTTAAATGTGAAATGATAATAATACTGGTATTACATAACGATTTGCACTATGTGCTTCATTGCAATGAGATTGGGAGTCAGAACCTGTCAGAGCAAATATATTTAGAATAAACTTCTGAAAGGGTCATTGTTTGCCAACAATTGCGGCGGGAAACAAAGCACTGGTGGCAGGATCTGTCTGAACTCCATCCCTCTCTTAGCACAGTATCAAATGGAAAACAATTTTTTGAAACTCAGGAAAGATTGATGACCCTCTTATACATAGCAGATTTTCCTATTATAATTCAAGGTGCATTAAATGAGTCAAGGGCCTGTGAATTCTTCTCAGTGTGCACAACGGTTCACAATATCCTGCCTACAAAGCCAAAGCAACAGGAAGTGAGAGTTTGGAGACGCAGCATTGATTCTGTTTGAGTAATTTACCTAAAGACAACAATGGTGGTATAGACAAAACCCAAACCAGGATGTGATGGGGCGATACAATGAGGGCAGACAGTGGAAGAGACAAGAATAAGGATGGGAAGAAATGCAGCCAATGGAAATGACAAAAGAAGGAACAACAAATAATGTAATAGAAAATAGAAAACAAATAGCGGGATCTTGTTTTTGTTTGTTATGGATTTCTCTTTCACCAGCCATTCAAACGTGAACAGTCAAACAACCTTCATGGACTAGACTGATGCTTTATAAAATTAATTCATAATTAATAAAAATACTTTTTTTTTACTTTTAATATAAGTACCTAGTCACGTATTCTGTCCCTGTTTCAGTTATTCTGAAAAACAACTGCCATAACAAGGATACAATTGCCTTAAAACTGGCCTCTGCCTGTGAATCATTAAACTACATTGTCTAGATAACAAACCTCAATCTATATATAAATGTATAAATCTACATCAAGTCTGCAGATCATGCTGAGTGCCAGAGAAACCCTTGGCACTAATTTGCAGCTTTTCAACTCATGATTGTATCATGAAAAGATCGACATGCTATCAATTCAAACATGAAATAGACAGTGCGAATAATTGCAATTAGCGCTCGCATTGCTACATGGACAAATACGGGTTTTACTTAAACGTGAAAAGTGTCATTTTTGAGCCAGCAAAGTGACCGCAACACAGAAGTGCTAAAATAATGATTGTTTCCAAAAAGGTTTCTCAAATAATCCTGCTTTTGCCCACCTCTGTCTGCCACAGAAAACAAGTAGTTTGATTATTAATTGACATCTTATTTTATTTATTAATTTTTTTGTCATTGAGTGAAATAAAATTAATTTCTCTCAAATCATCCACTATTATGGGCCTTTCTTCTTTTTAATAACCAAGACTGGGAGTCAAAATAAGCTATCTTTTGGAAAAGCCTTAAGGCCTGTTCACGTAAAATTTTAAAAATCATTGCAGTGTCCACACCACAACTATAATGATAACAACACAAAGGAACAATATTGTTGGAATCACTTTCAAAATGATTTTTTCCAGCTAATGAAAAATAAAAAAAAACTGACAGCCTATCAGAATCCATCCTGCTTTAAAGAGTTCAATCATTTAAAGTGGCAACAAAACTGCATATAATAAACAGAATGTTATTGTCGGCTGGTGTGGACGCTAATATAGTTATCATTATTGGTGTGAACAGGCCCTAATATTTTAATGTAAAAAATGACACTTCACCTTCAATGAATGCACCTACAAGTTAAAGTTGACTTGAAGTGGATTCACTCATCCTTAGGAGACAGAAATATTTGGCTTTAATAAATCATACTATTCCATATTGAAATACTAAATTAAAATTCATAAAAGGTTGCCTTTCAACACAAATACTGGCTGAAGTTCATATACTGTAAATCCAGACTGCAGGTAAAATATTACATTTGGAGGTCGGCATGCTTCCAGGTCTTTAATGCTGAAAAGGCAGCACTAATTTATGCAGAATATCAAAGTGGGCATTCAGCTTTCCATTAGGAGACTGTCTGATGATGCATAATGAAGTATTTTGCATGGCGGTGCCAAAGAGGTGTGACAGAGGTGAGAAAATAGTTGCAGTTTTCCATCAAATATCAGCTGCTGGTTGCCCTTCCAAACCCCATGAGAGTTGTAACAGCTTCACTAACAAATAAATAAAAAAAACACATACACTTATTTGTTATGCTGAACAGGTAGATGAGTTTTGGTCATGTTATATCTCACAGTTCCAGAATGCATAAAGGTTGTCATGGGGTTGAGATACATCTTGCTTCTGCTGTGTATTAATTATTCATACAGAGATTTTCATTTATTACTTCAGTGTGGCAGGTGGATGTGGCAATTTGAGTGTTTTGCTGTGAAACTTGACAAGTTTTAAAAGTAATCCCAGCGCAGCATGCTCAGAATTTCTAATGAATTAGATACATCTTGCTTCTGCTGTGTATTATGATTTCATACAGAGATTTTCATTTATTACTTCAGTGTGGCAGGTGGATGTGGCAATTTGAGTGTTTTGCTGTGAAACTTGACAAGTTTTAAAAGTAATCCCAGCGCAACATGCTCAGAATTTCTAATGAATTACTGTGCTCATACAGTATGTGCATCAAGACTGTGTGTAAATGGTTTCAAATCATAATTTATCGATAAGTTTGCATTGATAATTTACGCAAAATTTTGATACCAACAGAAAGCACACATGCACACACACAAAAAAAGACTCCCTTTGTGTTACGAACTGCTCCGAGACTACAGGTTGAGGATCCAAATGCAGCATTTATTAAGGGGTAATCCAAAGCCGTAGTCCAATAAACAGGCAAAAGGTCATAAACACAGGGGTAACCAGTCTAACACAAAACACCAGGCAGGAAACTCAGGCAAACAGGGTAATCCAGAGAACAGGCAAACAGGGAAATCCAGAAAACAGACAGGGGTCAAAACCATGGAACAGATAAACAATGGAGCACTCAGAAATGCAAGGACACAGGGAAATACACAGGGGATAAATAGGGAGAGACAAACAGGATAACAATGTAACAAGGGGGAGGAGCTAATTAAACACCATGGGAACTAACTAACTAAAGGGAAACCATGACAACAAACAAGGCTGAAGGGCAAACAGCAGACGAGACCAGGCAAAGAATTGTGGGAAATGGAGTCCAGGATGGAGTGGCAATGCAGTGCGGAGGAGTGCCCTCTGGTGGATGTCCAGGGCACTCCAGCTGGTGATAGTGACATAGCCCCCCTCCTAAGGAGCAGCTTCCAGATGATTCTAACAAGATCAGAGAAGACCAGGAAGGAGGCGGAGTGGAGGCAGATCAGGGGGCGGGTAGGAGAGCAGGTACATGGAGTGGATGATGGCCTGGAGATTGAGGCAGAGCCAGCAGGTCAGGAAGCCAGGGCGGAGCAAGGATCATGGGCAGAGGCGGTGGAACAGGCAGTCAGGGCGGAGCCGGTGGAGCAGAAAGCCAGGGCCCTCATTTATCAACAGTGCGTAGAAAAGGTTCTATATTTTGTCCTACGAATGAAATTTAGAATGTGCCTAAGTACAAGAAAATCTGTATTTATCAAACGTGCGCACGCAGTTCTTACACACATGAGTAAGCAATCATTGTTGATAAATCCCACATGTGCGTAAGTAACATGCTCGTTCACGTTCACGGTCATTTGCATTCGGAAACACCTCCAATGAACCATATATGGTGACAACACCTCCTTTTATAAGTCACGTGAATGTATGTATCCTCACCGAAATCATGGCAAAGAAAGTGGTACCTACGGAGAAGCCATTCTGTGCTCAGAGAGGTGTGCTTATATTTACACACATTTCTACGTATAAGTACAAGTTGGTAGATCCCACACTTTGCGTGAAACTGTTCTAACGCACTCATTACGCACACATCTGTGCATACGCACTGTTGATAAATGAGGCCCAGGGCAGAGCAGGAAGGCAGGGTGGAGCTAGCAGGTCAGGAAGCCAGGGCGGAGCAAGGAGCATGGGCAGAGGTGCTGGAACAGGCAGTCAGGGCGGAGTCGGTGGAGCAGAAACAGAACAGGCAGACAGTTCCAAGACGGCATCTTTGGCCGTGACTGGCAGGCGAGGAGCTCAGGGACGGCCTCCTTGGCCGTGACAGGGTTGACAAGGGATTCAGGGACGGCCTCCTTGGCCGTGACAGGACAGGCTGAGAGTTCAGAGACGGCCTTCTTGGTTGAACTCAGGGGTTATCTCAGGGCTGGCAGAAAGTTCATAAACAACCTCTGTGGTTGTATCAAAGTAGACAGGCAGTTCTAGAATGGCCTCTGTGGTTGAGACAGAACAGGCAGAGAACTCACAGGATGTCACCAACACTGGACTGAGCTCTGGGGCTCGAGTGAGCTCTGAAGTGGATTCATGGACTGGAGCAGGCTCTGGAGCGGATTCAAGGACTGGTGCAGGCTCTGGAGATAATTCAAGGACTGGTGCAGGCTCTGGAGATAATTCAAGGACTGGAGCGGGCTCCGGAGTGGACTCATGGACTGGAACAGGCTCTGGAGCGGACTCATGGACTGATGAGAGATCAGGAGTGGATTCACAGACTGGAACAAGCTCAGGAGGAGTAACAGAGCAGTGTGTAGCCCAAACACACAAGATGGCAACCGCCATTACAGGGAGCACTGAGGATAGGGGAACAGCCTCTGTGACAGCCAGTACTGAGGCCCTTGGGATGCCAGCTGCTCTGGTCGAAACCAGTAGTTGGTCCACCAAACTGGAGATCAGCCCCAAAGGCCTTTGAAACGTCTGCGTGTCTTCAAATGCAACGTTCAAGATGACTGGGAACACAAGAGTGGCATTCGTGACTGCTGAAGACTGTGGCGTGACATCCATGATGGCTGGAGTCTCTGGCGTGGTGGCTATCTTGCCGAGAGGCTCTGGGCTGGCAGCCATCTTATGGAGAGTCACTGGGCAGGCCGCAATTGTGTGGAGAGGATCTGGAATGGCAGCCATCTTGTGGAGAGGCTCTGGTTTGGCAGCCATCTTGTGTATAGGCTCTGGAGTGGTGGCCATGTCGTGACGAGACTCTGGAATGGCGGCCATGACGGGATGTGTCTCTGGAGTGGCAGCCATGATGGGATTCTCCTCAGCGACTCCCACAGTGAATATTGAACCACTCAGCTGCAATGCAACATTGATATAATAATCCAGAGTCCACCTAAGGCCGTGTAGCGGCATGAGGGAGCTGAGTGGTTCGGATAGCCAACAAATTAAATGACAACTAAATAAATAAATAAATGAAGTTATTTTTATATTTTCATATTAAATTACAAAAAAAAACTTGTCAACAACTGCTCCTAGAGGGTTTCTAATACAGGTTTGGAATGTCATGGAAATGCAATAGTGACTTTTTTCTTTTGATGTTTGATAATATGGGAACGCAAAAAATTATATTTGCTATGGTCTCCTCTTACCCTGCTATACCATGCTAAATGGATAAATAAATGCATTAATAGTTTTCTTCCACATTCAAAACCAAGAAATGTAAAAAGAGACCATTCACATATCTGTCTGGATTATATATATATATATATTTTTTTTTTTTACATGAGGAATCTGCAGACGTGTCAGAATCTCAATGCTGCAGCTGTGAATCTAGTTATTGTGAAAGATCATACTTGTGGTGTTTTTCAGCAGGCATAGCTGTTACGTGTTTAATCTACCCATAAGCCTTTTGTTCAGCTGGATGCTCTACGGTCAAAACGCTCATGTCCTTCTGTTCATATTTCATTCTCTCGTGCCGCCAGTCAGCCCTTAACTGCCTCTGTAATTACATCCTCATCAAGTGTTCAGCAGCTTTCTAATTGAAGGATGTGTTAAGATGCATGACATTAAGCAATTTTTTTTCAAGACAAGTAGAAGGAGAAGAATGTGTTGTAATTTGCCATCCCCAACCCTCTACACTCACATGATCACTCACTTCCACTCCATGCGTATTGTATTGTATATATCGTAATACCCAAGGCATTGAGATTTTGGGACCATATATGTCCTTGTCATATAATCCCAGAAACTGCCAAAGCTAACATGCTTTTTTTCCCCTCTGCCCAAACTTAAAATCTCACACCATTGATTTTAATTAACTTTACACTCCCTATTTGTTGCTATTTTTACAGATCACTGAGACAGAAATATCCATTTATTTTCCAAGTTTTAATTATGGTTTCCTAAAAAACAGAGCTCCTGTTTGCTGCACAAGAACAGCGGCGTTAATTGTTTTCATGTGACAGCACGGCCCTGCGGCGTCAAACTTTGTCAGTAAGAAAAATAAACATTCGGATCGACTGCTGTCGAATCTTGTCACTACAGAATCTTGTCTTTTAGTGATAAAGGAGCCAAGAATTGATGACTACCTTCGGTGATGTGATTAGATCACATCATGCCTTTGATGTCTCTTTCCTAAAAAATTAATGTCCCCATGTAAGTCATTTTCAGAACCTACCAGTGTTAAAATATTGGAAAATTTACCATTTCTGAATAGTCTGACTCTTTTATTTACTCTTTTATTATCTTTTATATTTCATCTCTGTTCTCTTACTTTTTATCTATTTTTCCAAATAGTCTATTATAACTAAATTACATAAATGTGTATTTTGTCTACTATAGTAGATCAAATATGAGATTCAGCAAATGTTTTGTTTTGTTTTTTTAATTTTAATTAATGTTCACACTGTAAAAAAATGACCGTGAATTTAACGGTAAAAGACTGTAAAAATGCTACAGTAAAATCATCACCACCTGCATTTGGTGGTTATCAGTTGTATTACAAAGGTACAAAACAGATTTCAGTACTTCAATAAGGTTGGTATATTAACATTATATCAGTGAATGAAATTACGGTATTTAACTGTAAATTTAAGTTAAAACCGTAAAACCTAAAACGTTGCAACAATACAAGAGTGAAAGACACATATTTGAGAAAATCACCAGGGTTTTGTTATTGAATTGTACCTCTCATGCTTTGTTGTGTGGTCCTTAGCACCAGTGGGACATTTCGGCAATCTCTTCTTTCTTCAGTCTAAACCTTTTCTTCTTCACCAATGCCAGCTCATCTTTAGTTTTGTATTTCTAACTGTCCTTTGAAGGTATCCACTGCTTTTTACACAAGTATTTCCCTCCTTTGTAGTCAACAACCTGAAAATGTACCTCCATTGCCCTTTCACTCTCACTCTCCATTGTAGTCTTGATCTCTCCTTCTCTGAATTAATGTGCCAAGTGAAGAAAGAATAGACAATTACTTGATGTATTTTATGTTTTTTTTTTACTTTTGCCTCAGTCCTTGTTGTCTTCCTCCCAGTTCACACTTTGATAGTCCATCTTTTGCTGACCATCTGCTGCATAATTAACACTAAATTGGAAAGAATGTTTCGGCAAACTTAGTCTGATGCGATCTAATATACAGTATATATATAATGTATATGTATAATATACATTTATATATATAATGACAAGTAATAATAAATAAATTATAAATTAACATAAATGTATAAATTATATAAATATCTATTAGATATGATTAAAAAATATCTGAAATTAACGTTAGCTAAGATTACTAAATGCTGTAGAAGTATTGTTCATGCTTAGTTCATAATAACTAAAGTAGTTAAACTAATGTTAAAGGGGTCATATGATGCGATTTCTATTTTTCCTTTTCTGTAGTGTGTTATGTAGCTATTTGTGCATGTATAAGATCTGCAGAGTTACAAAGCTCAAAGTCTCCCACAAAAGGATTTATTCTATCTAAAATAGAAGGCTAAAACGCCTCATTCAAATACGCCCCCACATCTCTACATCACGATGTGGAAATATTTGCGTAATGCCGCCCAAATGTTCATGCAAAGAAAGAAGGCGTGGTTTCAGGAAC